TCCATGTGTCTTGCCAGTAGAGAGTCTCTCAGGGAATGAGCCTGTGTCCTGCCTCCAGCGAGCTATTTATCTCCTTAGTGGCTCCAAATGAGGTTATCAAGCTGAGCCCTGATTGATAGGCTAAACTCCACCCCATTCATTCTTAATACTCAAATTGATAACAGATTATGTAACTCACAGCTCCTACAGATATTATTACAATCCATAGTTCCATTAGATCAGGCATAGTTGTACAAGTGTTGCCATCATCCTTTACAATAAATTTTCTTTTTTCTTGAACTCCTTGATATCAGCTTCCCTTTATCCCCTTCCTCCTTCACCCTACCACCCCCCCTAATAAACTAATAAATTATAATAAATCTAATGAATTATATATTGTTATTGTTGGGGGGGTTTTCGACCACAATTTACACCATCCAATGAATCCATTCACCTAAAATTCTGATGTTTGTTCCCCTTGAGTGGAGTTATAAAGTCATTGTCCCTCTGTCCCCTCTTCCTGTACACTCAGAGAATCATTACTTCCATTACTGTTTCTGATGGGTTTATCTGTCTTGGATTTTGTGCATCAAAAGATCTTACTAGTAGCAATGCAGTACATGTGCAGGTCTAGTAAGATTGGTGAGGTAAAACTAAGGCCATAATAGTAGGAGGAGGATATTTTAAAGAACTAGAAGATAGTTATGTGTTTCGTCAGTGCTATTCTGTACCCTGGATGTTTTGTCCCTTCCATGTGGCCCTTCTGTAAGGGACTGTACAATTATCACCCAGGTGGGCTTTGGGTCTTGACTTTGTCTACTCTCCTTCACGTCAATTTGATTACTTGTTTTTGAACTTCTGATACCTATTTCCATCGACACCTCATGATCACATAGGCTGGCGTGCTTTGTAGCTTCCCTGCTAGATGGCTGCTTGTACAACTTCACGCTTTAAGACCCCAGATGGTATATCATTTAAGAGCTGGGTACTATCAACTTTCATCACTATATTTGCTTATGCATCCATTTTATCTTCAGTGATCATGTTGGGAAGGGTCCCTGGTGATGTTTGATCAATTGAGATGTACCCAACAGAAACTATTGAGAGGCAAACAAAGGGTGAACATGATAGTGGGTAGAAGGAAAGAAAACAGAAATAGAGAAAACAATAAGGAATCAAACATTATATATAGGTATAAATATATGAAGATAGGTGTATTTTTCTATGTATGTATGTGTATATATACACACACACACGTGTGTGTGTGTGTGTGTGTTTGTGTGTTAATACAACTAGGAAGCGGATGGACTTTGGGCCTTTACTCAAATCCTACCTCAGTACATGAATGGTTTGTTCTTATAATGTGGCAATGTATGATACTCACTTTCCCTGCTAAATGACTTTTAAATCAGAAGATGGAGGAGGGAGAAATCTGGAAAGACTGTATTCCCCCTCAGTATTTCTTTAAAAAAAAATAATTTTATTGGGGCTCATACAATTCTTATCACAATCCATACATACATCCATTGTGTCAATCACATTTGTACATTTGCTGCCATCATCATTATCAAAACATTTGCTTTCTACTTGAGCCCTTGATATTAACTCCTCATTTTCTCCCTCTTCCCCACTCCTCCCTCACTCCCTGCTCCCGCCTCCCTCATGAGCCCTTGATAATTTATAAATTATCATTATTTTGTTATATCTTACACTGCCCGATGTCTGCCTTCACCCACTTTTCTGCTGTCCATCCCCCAGGGAGGAGGTTATATGTAGATCCTTATAAATGGTTCCCCCTTTCTACCCCACCTTCCCTCCACCCTCCAGATATCGCCACTCTCAGCACTGGTCCTGAAGGGATTATCCGCCTTGGATTCCCTGTGTTTCCAGTTTCTATTTGTACCAATGTACATCCTCTGGTCTAGCCGGATTTGTAAGGTAGAATTGGGATCATGATAGTGGGGGGAGGAAGCATTTAAGAACTAGAGGAAAGTTGTATGTTTCATTGTTGCTACCCTGCACCCTGACTGACTTGTCTCTTCCCCGCAACCCTTCTGTGAGAGGGTGTTCAGTTGCCTACAGATAGGCTTTGGGTCTCCACTCTGCACTTACCCTCATTTACAATGATATGATTTTTTGTTCTTTGATGCCTGGTACCTGATCCCTTCGACACCTTGTGGTCACACAGGCTGGTGTGCTTCTTCCATGTGGGCTTTGTTGCTTCTGAGCTAGATGGTTACTTGTTTATCTTCAAGCCTTTAGGACCCCAGACACTATATATTTTGATAGGCGGGCACCATCAGCTTTCTTCACCACATTTGCTTATGCACACATTTGTCTTCAGTGATCATATTGGGAAGGTGGGCCAGGAGGTGGGCTCCTCTCTCTCTTCCTCCCCATTCTTTTGCTTCAGTGTGCTCTGATCAGACACGTCCCTCTCCCCTAGCTGCAGCTTCAGTGCAGTCCTCTAAAGTAAATTCTTCTGGGGGCACCCTCAGTATTTCTAAAGAGCAAGTTCAAGTATCCCTTTCTGTTTCCCCTCCCACAAGAATGGAGACCTGAGAACAAAGTAAGATCACTTGAGAAAATAATGTACACATATATCACAGCACTCTTACAGGTTGTCAAACTGTACACCCCACTCTACTTCCAGGAAGATTGTTGTCAATCTGTCTCACCAGTAATTCACGTTTGAGCTCTTAGTGTGTGCTTTTCTTACCCCAGTTGGCGCGGGTCCAGGACTGGTCAGTGTCCTCTGGTCTCCACGGTCGCGATATGACGCAGAATACCCCAAGTATTAGCTCCCCAGGAAAAAGCTGAGACTTAATCATCTCCAGGATGCTCACGCATGTGCCCGACTCCACCTGCTGCCATGTTTCCACAGTGTTATTTTATACTAGCATTTATGCAAGGTGAAATGAGATCAGAAACCTGCCCTCCCACCCTAAGCCCTCCCTCCCTCCCTTTTTTCCCAATTTAAGAATAGGGGCTCAAACAAGACAGACGAAAACCCCAGGGAGAAATGGACTCCATTGTGGTGATCAGGGCCCTCCCGCCCTCGTGGGAAAGCTTGGTGCCTGGGGCCATTGCACAACTCACTGGGTCTCTCGGTGTCTGGTAGCTCGAGGAAGTTAAGCCTTGCCCAAGTTCTTTAACCAGGGGCAGGGATTTGAAGGCCAAAGTTTAGCGAGTGGTCACGCAAGTTAGCCGTGAGTCTAGGATTCCCAAATGGCCGTACCCAGAGCTTACTTCTCCACCTTGCTTGGAGAATGCACTCGAATCGCTCAAGGACGACGGAGCCACCTGGCCTTCCTCCTGGCTGAAATGCAGAGAAGTTTGCCATTGTTCCAAATCCGGAAGAAAGTCACTGGTAGGCAGGGAATGGGGTGCCGTCTAAGCCTCCCTCTCCCAGGTTGTGGAGGAGGCAGGTGGAGCTGGGGGGAGTGGGGCTCTGGTTAGGGGGTTTTTAATTTGGGGGCGAGGGCGGGTTGTGGGGGTAGGGGGACTCTAGGAGCCCGGGTTGGCTAGTGGTCACGCCTTGGGCTGCTATCCCCAGGTCAGCAGCTTGAAATCACTAGTCTCCCCTGCCCTGTGGCGTCCCTATGAGTCAGCATGGGCTGTAGCAGGGATTCGGAATCTGCTCACGGTCTTGGGTTTCAGCGAGCACTAACATTGAGGGATCAAATGCCATAAGGCAAAACCAAACGAAACTCTCTGCCGTTGAGAGGATGTCGACTTGCGGCTAACCTATAGGATAAAGGAGAACTGCGCCTGTGGGGTTCACAACCAGTTGAAAGCCTGATCTTTCTGCAGAACAATTGGGGGTTTCAAATTGTTGACCCTGCGGTTCACAGCCCCCAATATAATCACCATGCTACCGGGGCCTCTCTGGGGAGACGAGGCTTGAGTTCTCTCCCTATCCAGGAGATGTTTCATAAATAAGGGTTAACTGAGTGAATGAATGACTCCCTCTGGTGGGAGCAAAACTTTAATGGTTAATGAATTAGGA